TATCTAACGAACCGGAGAGGAAAGTGTCATCAGTGGGATTCATACTTAGACACATCACTCTTAAAATCAGTGCTAAGACACGTCTAATACTGGAAATAAGATATGAGAAGAAGAGTGTAATAACATACTTTTTCGTATGTCCAGGAAAGTATCTGATGTACTTGTTGTCATGAAGGGATAAATATCGAATGGTATCTGTAAATTAGACTGATACATACAGCTGTCATATTCTAACTGATCTCAGCTGATAACGAGAAAAGGAAAAAATGTGGCGAAGTTCAACTAACCGTCAACCTTAGTAGAGCAATGGATAGCGTTGCTTGTGTTGTGCGAAAATCGAATGAGATCAACACCATATTTTTTGCTATTTACCTGAATATTGATTGGGTATCTACATTTGTGATACTATGATATTGGGTGAACTTTGTGTTATCAAGAAACGGCTACGAATATAGAACTCATACTGACAGTCTGATTAATTGGTAAAATAAATAGTACTTCATTGTCACTCTTGGCTCATATGGCATCAAGTTGATCAACATGCATCGTGAGTCCTGACTTATCCAAAAACTTTGACTTTAGAACTCCAGATAATGGGGCCTTAGATTAACACAACCACAAAAACCACGACAATATACAAAAGGAAATATTTTAAACGGGTATTAAGAAACTAGTATGACCTACATTTCGGGTTCGAGTCCCAGTCTGCATGCTGTAAATGAAGATGGAGTCATCGTCGCTTGATGTTATCATCGTTAATCCATCCGCCGAGTAGTCGATGCTATTTATCTGAACAGATATTTATAGTATTTGATTTAGGCGTTTTTATTTGCAAAGGAGTCCTTAATGATGGTCAACTTCTCGTATTTTTGCCCTCTTCACTTGTTTTGTAAACGTTCTCAAAAGACAATACAATAATTAGCTAAGAAAGCAACCAATAATGCCCCTGTATAGCTGAATTTCAAATGGATAGATGTGAAAGATCTAAAAAGTCCTTCTATGACTAAGGAGAAGAATAACATACCACGATCATTCTAAAAATAGTTTAAGATGTTAGCAGTACTCTGAATAGTAGTCGTCATGAAGCTAGGATTTTGTTCTTGTCCATTTTCGATTCGTTGGACGTCGGAGGTAACTGGGTGTGGAAGATTGGGTTTGTGCAATGAAATCAGGAGTGGTAGTAATTTAACCGAACCTTGGTAATCGTCATTAAACCGCATTTAA